CTCACTGGTTAGMACTAACAAGTAGCACCTGTATAAATGTTTAAGTTAGCAAATTGAAATCTTTAAAAATTATAATGCATTTATGCTCAATTATAAACATGTGAACTGATTATACGTATATATGTTTATACATAGCCTCAAACTAAACATTTTCAATATATTTTGAAAGGTGCCGGTAAAAGTAGGCTTTGAAAGGCTGGTAGGAGTAACTACTGCTAGGTGTGGCTGGAATCATGGAAATTGTTGATAATGTAGGGTGGATCTAAATGTGGTTTTCACCTTTCATAAAGCAACTATTTAAAAGTTGTTTTATAAATAATCTAGSACAGGTTTTTTGTTGTGCCACATGACTGTTCTTCTCTCACATGTCTTCTAAACATCTCTATAGCTGAGATTATCTGCTTTGGTATCACATAATTCCCAAATATAGAAGGAAATATTAGGAGCTTTATGCATAGTCCAGAACATGATAAAATGATAAACCTGATAAGACACATGAAGAGTTTAGAAGTTAAGTAAGCAGCAAGATGCAACCAAGACTTCACTCACTGGCAAAACCTCTGATAGAGTCCGACCACTGATTAACTGAAACGATGTTTTTCTTTCCTTCTGAACAKTGTGGTTTAGAAGCTAGTCAGCAGCACCGTATAAAAGCACCGAGAAATTCTGGCATTTATAAATGAAAGTATTGCCTAATAAACCCAGTGGCAAGAATTGGTCTTCTGCACACCACCTTGTGATTGGTCTGCATGGCTGGGATTTAACTGCTCGCTGCAAATACTAGTTCCTTCCTTTCAGGTTTTAAGGTAAATATAATTTTCAGCGTGGGTGTAAAATCTTTATCCAGCAGTTAGCAGTGAAAAGAAGAGGAGGATTGTCAAGGAACGTCACAGTGAACAGATGTGTTGTGAACACTACATGCCCAGCTATCGTAGTGGCAGACATCCACAAAAAAAATTGGATGGGCTGTTCAGCAATAATTTATATTTTAAAAAAAGCTACTGATGGAGGTGGATAAATATATATTTATATATATATATATATATATATATGCCTTTTTCACAGAAAGCAACAGTTTTCCTAGTCAACTCAGAATGACTTGCAATAGGAAGGAGGACAGGAAAGCATCCTGTGGACTGAGGAATTTTATAAAACTTGGAAAAAAATACTGGCTGTTATAAAACAAAGAAGCGCTGTAAATCAGACATTGGAAACAGATATGAGTGCTTATGCAGGGAATCATTGCTTCGTGTTCTGACAAACCACTTGCTAAGTGGAAGATGGCTCAGAGAAATGTTAAGTCCAGCATCTCCTGCATTGTGGAATTTCACATGGAGTCTGTTTGAAGTTTTCGATCAAGGACCATTTTAATCATAAAAATACATTCTCTGGTGCCCTCAAAATAAGAATAATTATGGTTTGTTTCACAAGAAGTGCTGATTAATGTAATAAGTTGAAATATTTTAATGGTTTTAGATTGTTTGGTTTTCAACAGAGGGCTTTCATTTTGAACAGGCCCCAAAACCTCAATCGTTTTTATATAATTCCCACCTTTTGAGATCCTAACCCTGTGTCTTCTGATTTGAACGTCGAATTACAGTGATGTTCTCTTTTTAAACAATACTGGAACACTTTGGTGCACCAGCAAAGGTGGTACAGTCAAAGGGGGCAAATATGATCAAGATCTGCCGGCTGCTGCTACACCAGGGMTGCAACCAGCTCCTAACTGCCTCCGTGAGCAAACTCGAGAAGCAGGAAGATGAGAGGGGAAAATATGACACAAGCAGAAAGCTATTCAATGATTGTTTTTAGAGAGATTCAGCTGTCAGTAAATGTATATTGCCTTATATTACTTATATTACTTATTATAAGTTACTGTTGAAGCTCACTATATGCTGATTGCAGTTAGAGGAGAATTTAGCTTTCTCTGTTACAGCAAAAAGTTGCCTAGAAGACAGGCATCCTGCATTCCAAAATGTATGAAATCCGTTGATTTTATAATGCTTTTAGAAAGAAATGGACTCAAAGCATAGCAAGCAGTTCCTTGTCCCCCGGTTGTGTTCATTCCTCTAAACAATCATTGAAAACAGACCAAATTGTTTCTGAAGTGAATGCTCTCACGCTCCACTTTTATTCAGTTTACTAATACAGGCAGCTGCTGCTGCCTGCAGTAAAACAAACAAATATCTTTTCAGCTCTTCCTCGAGCTTCTTATAACAAGTGCTGCTGATGAATTAGCTAGTTCATTAAAAAATTACACATGATTTTAATGAGGCAAGCAATTCCAAATCAAAGAACCCAATTCGACGAACTAGGTTGAAGCACATAATTGGCATGTATTTTAGGATCGCTGTTAAAGCTGTAAAAAAGATTTACTAGGGAAGGAATGGATCCAAAAACCCTAAAGGAGGGAATATGTTATTTGTGAGACTCAGGGTAACAAACTGACTCATTTAGTACTAAAGCCTTATCTACTCAAAACAAAAAACTGAAATAAATGTAAACATCTTCTAACTTCTTCAGCAAGATATTATCCTTGTCTCCTCAGCTCATACAAATATAGTACATATTGTATTATAGCATTTATTCTGCTATGATTTTCATTATTACTATCAGAGATGTATTTGTATTAAATCATTTAAATAATTGAGGAGTGCAGTATAATTGTAAAGCAAAAATATATAAGGTGTTTTCACCATGTTCTGAGATCTGCAGTGTGATTAGAGCCTCAGTTACACAGATAGTTATGCATGTGCAGTTCAGCTGAGAAACACACACATGCATACAGGCTATGCTTGAGCATTTGGAGGATGAGGAGAAGGAAGGTGCATTATTCAATGTATTTTTAGGAACAATTATGCTTTGTTCTCAGTTTACAAAGAGTTGAAACTTCAGAGAAAGGTTTGGGGCTAAGACAACTTTACCATTGAAATGCTTGGGAAAGGTTGTGCGCTGGTCAGTTTTTGCAACATTTTGTTAAACAAATCCAATCCATCTTTATTTTAAACTAAAGGTGCAAGTAATCAAGTCCTAAATATATGAAAATGAGTATAGATTCTGCTTTCTATTGTACCTTTGAGTGCTTGAGTAGTATAATGTAAAAGCTTCTGAAGCTGATATTAGTTGGACTTTGTGTGATGGCATTGAGGCATTTTCAACTATTAGCCTTCCCAAGGGCTCTTTTCAGACAAAATGTTATGCATCAGCTCTTATTTGAGTGTAAGCCTATTGAAAAGCATTCTCTCCTTTGCCAACTTGGCAGCAAGCTCTCTTGCTAATAAAAGAGGTTACCCCAGATAGAGATCCCAGATGTGCCTGAACAACTTTTATTAGGACTATGGAGAGGTTCAGCGTTTCCTTCTAATAGTTTTCAAAAAAGGTGTGGGCTTGCCTTCATAATTGCTCAAAGAATTGTATTACATCACTGGAAATTTTTTTCCTCAAAGTGAATAAAATGTTAGATGTGTTAGCACAGAACACAGTTTAGGAAGCACCGATAGGCAAAATGATGACTGTCTTTTGCCAGAATACAAACCTTGATTTGATCCTGCTGAACTCTGTTGAAAAGAGGAGAAAACTGCTGTTTAACATTGAGTTGAAGTTCCTGGTATACTGATGAGATTCAGTATAATAAACAGAGTAGAAACAGTAGATTTTTGTAAAAACAGTGATGGTTAGGATCTCTTGAAAACAATTTAGAGTGTAGAAGGAAACCACATCTACAAAACTGAAGCCATTTGTTTTGTCCTCTGCCTGTGATGCACAACATAGTTGATTATAATATCACTTGTTCTCTTAAGTTATTGGACGCTTTTTGTTTATTGAACACTTGCAGAATCATTACTATACTTAGTGATAAAGTCAACTCATTGACTGCTTCATACATAGCTCTTTTACACTGAAATTGCTAACATATTCCATGTTTTGTTTTGTTTTATTCCGTGCTAAATAATAAGCACAGGTTTGTATTCCAAAAAATATATTTAAAATTCTGTTGATGAAGGACTTTTTCATACTGTTTGGTTGAGTGCATTGGCTTCAGTTTTAAAACTAATAGTATTGTGAAAGAGTACATCTATGGATTTAATGATAACTTTCCCTACTGGATTCAGTGCCATGAATGACTTAGGTCTACAATGCAGATTGGTTGAGGAAAATGCTACCTCTCTGTTCATGTTAGTTAACAAAAAATCCCAACAAACTAAAAGCCTTACTGCTCTCTGATCAGGCTTTCTTTATTTTTACTTGAAGAAATAGTAAAATCTAACCAGGACACTTAACAAATTAATATAGTAGGTTAAACTTACTATTTGTCTCTTTATGTTTGCAGTTTTCAGTCATAATCTTTATTTTCCTTTTAAGGTCATCAGCATTCTATCGAAACAGTTTTGTTGTTGTCAGGGAAATGAATATGGGAACAAATACTAATATAGGGAAAGAGATTTTAATTTGAAATAATTCATTGCTTTGTTATATGTTGTTCATCTTTGCTTTGTTCATCTTAGTATTAAGTTCTGAAAATGAATGCTGCTCTATTTTCCAGTAATGTCTCTGGTTGATTTTAATTGCAATTGCATTAGATACAGAAAGTAAGAAACTGCACAGTGGATTCAGTTCATAATGAAACACACGACGGTATTCCGTTTTGGATTTTCCAAACCAGGTTTGATTCAAAGGCTCCCATTAATGTCAGTGGGCTTTGGTTAAGGCACAGGGTTAACAGCTTATTTTTCAAACAACTAGAAAGAGGTGTAAATGTCAAAGGTGATAGCTATACTGTGAGTTCCATAAACTACAAAAAAAAGTTACTACTAAAGCTCCATTTTTCCTTAGTTTAATAGCTTCTATGAAAATTGTGTTAATAAGCATATCAGGAACTGTATATAATAATGAATCAGATATGTAAAAATTTAATACTCCTTTTATATAATAATTGGAAAGTTAAAAGTGACTTAAAATCCTTAACTTCTCATGCTGTGATCTAAATTGTATTTTTTTAGGTTCCAAATTCAAAGAGGGAAAACTGATCCGACCAGTTACAAGAGCCTGGGGGACTGTTTTAGGACTATTTTCCAGAGAGAAGGGTAAGAGTATATGTTTTAAAAATTGTCAATTTTATGTGACCTATTTTAATCACCCAATTTTCCAGACATTAGATCCTCTTTACATTCTTCGCTTTTTTGCAATTGCTAGAATTCGGCAAGCATTTAATTTTACATGATGAGTACAGTCTTAGCATTGCTGGCACTCACAATATGTGATTTGCCATTAGGATATCTTTACAAACTGTAATGCACAGCTGCATAGAGATGCTCAAGCAAGGGCTGCAAGCTTCTGTATTGAGTGCGGGATGGCCCCATTAGTGTGCTACAATATCGTGTCTTGTTCCCTGAGCTTTTGAACTGGATTAGTGTAAGGCATGATCAGTGAGGCACTTGTTTCCAAGCTATGGTGAACTAACATTCCCAATTAGGTAGACAGTGTTCTCAACACTTGCTTGAGCCACAACTTTTCMGTTTGACAGAATAAAGAAGATCTTCAGGATTTATGGTGCTGAAGTGATGCCGGATTCAGAAGGTACCACGGCTCTGAGTTTGAGGTCCTCTAAGTGACTCAGGCTCTGATCCAGAAAGGCATTTAAATACATGCTTAATTTTATGAGCAGTCCAGTTGAAGCCAGTGAATGTAATGGGACTGCTCACATGCTTAAAGTTAAGCCCACTATCCACAGGAGCTCTTCAAAGCTTGCCTTTAATCAAGGTAACTCTAATTAGTAAATCCCAGTTTTATGTAGCTGGCAGACTTTCCATGAGAACTTTGAAAGTACAATAGCAACCTTTTTTACATCCATATATAGATCAAAATAGACTTGTGCTTAAATATAGTGGCATAGATACCATGTAGGGCRACGGCATAGCTGCAGCGGGGCACCAACTTCAGAAATGTCCACATGCTGTGCTGCAAATGCAGAGGTGAGATTAGCAGTGAAAATGAAGAACTAGACCCATTTTGTTTTCTGCCGTAAGATTTAGCTAAACTACACTTCTGTGTAAGAACGTAGATACACAAGTTTTCAATTGCTAAAGAAAGATGTTGAAATATGTTACTACGGTAGTGAAAAGGTAAGTCTAATTTGCTGTTATCACTGAATTTCAGTTTAGAGGAATAGCTTGTGCTGTGCACGATTTTGAGGAAAAGCTTGTAGTGTGCACAAGGACAAAAGGATAATTTTAGTTTTCAGGAGTTTCAAAAYTAAGTATGTTAGTTTTTATTGCTTCTCAAAAAAGACTGTTTTCTCAATAGAAAACTATTAATATKTATAATCATATCATTCTAATTATCCTTAAATACAAAACTGATTTCAATATTTGAGTCAGTGGGCATAAAAAAAAAATCTATTTAAGAGATACATACTAATATTTTTGGTTGAATTAGTCAGAATGTAAAATGAAGCCTGTGCAGGACTATTTGTAGAAGGAGCCTAAACCAAAAGACTGTTTGTAARTTAATAATGTTAGGGTCTTGTTTTATTAAGTATGTGACTATATTGTGTAATTAAGATATTTGTACAAACCATATGTATAAAATAGCATTTTTACCCTGCTAGCTGCAATGTAAATATACAAACTCTAGTTCACTTGCTACTATTTTAGGAGGAGAGAAAAAAAGCGCTTTACATTTCAATTGTGCTACATGTTGTTCTTTTCAAATGGTTGTCAGAGACACAGTTATTATTTATTATATAGATTTGGCTCCGTTATTATTTTCCCAGTGTTTGGAAGTGTGCTATATAATAAACATAAGTTCTTTGTGTAGAGACAGTGGGCTGAGTTAGAGGTCATCAGTGCATGAGGTTCAGAAGGGAGAGATGAAGAGTTTTCCTCTAGAATGTTTGTGCCACAGTACTGGTATCAAAGCAGTGTATCTCTGATAATTACAAATATCAAGGCATGACTCTGTAAGCAACAGTGGAATATGATTATGTGAAATTGTTATAAATTTAGTTTACAAGTGGTTTGCACTGAATTTCTTTTGGATTGGAGATAATGGATAGTTTTACTTCCTGATTGCAAAAGCTCTCTGTGCCGAACACAAGGCAAATGCTGTGAGTATCTCTTTTTCTCAGAAAGTTGGAGATACAAAGTTACACTATAATAGTAATCGAGTAGTAAGCACAAGGAAAAATATGGTGAGTTTCAGGCATAAGTAAGTGGAGATAACCAGCTTTCTAAGATCCAAAATCTTAACAACAATAATCAACTAATGCCYCCAAATCTGTTCAACTCCATGAGTCTTGCATTTCTATCAGCGTGATTTGTCCAGTTTCTGAAGCTTCGTGATTGTTACACTTGTGAAGGAAGTAAGAGAGATTATTGAGAAATCTTTAAGTTAGTGGAAATCCTGAACCCAGATCCCTCTGTGACCACAGAAATGTCATGCCAAAAAGAGAGACAGAAAAAGCTAATGAAATAAGGGAGCACAGCAGAAAAACAAATGTTACTAATGGGCTGCTCCTGAAAATGTTTACATCTGCGTATAGTGCTTTTGCTCATTTGTACTTAAATTTTCAATGGTAGTAACTAGTGTGAGCTAGAAAGTTAGAGCCCAGTTAAGGAAAGCGGTGTACTTGCTAATGCCTCAATTTTTGACTCTMTTCAGTTAATATTAAAAATAAGTTTGAAGGATCATCCTTGGAAATTTTTATTAATTTTATGAATATGATGTGTTGCAATGCAATGCCTTGCACTGAAAATCAACCAGTATGGTGTTACTGTAGTATCACAGTAGCAATGGGTGATGGATTCATGGAAAGCTACTTCCCCACAAATACTGGACAGGACGTCTTTAAGCATCATTCTGTTTTTCTCCYCATTATAATGAAGACGACAGAGATAATATTTCCAGTCTAGCTACTGCCAGAATACTATCCTTTTTAAAGAATCTCAGCATTCTTTCTATGTTCACAAACTACTGGAAATAATCTAAAACAAAAAACAGACATTAAAAAAAAGTCTCCTTTCCTCCAACTCTCAAACTTTGAATGGCTCTTTTGGTGGAAATAAATTTTCTCCACAGGGAATTAAAATCTTCAAAGAAGGATCCATCCCTTGAACTCTTTTGTTGTCTTACAAGAAAATGGGAGCCACAAAACATAAAATTTAATTGAGACTGACTAAAGGAAGGCTCTGTCTAACAAAGCATTAAAGGTCACATAGCTTTCTATTAAAGGAAAGTATTAACTTCAGGGCTTTTGCAAACTTCTCTTGAAATCTTCCAATCATGGCCTGTTGCATGGGGGCTGCAGCCCCATGGATCTTCTTATGGGGTGAACTGTATTTGCTAAAAGTGTGCATCTGAATTTCTCTGGTTTTGCTTATGAGATGATGCATATATTGACAGATCTTTGACAAGAGAGGTAAAACCACCAGGAATATATCTGTTTATTGAGGAGTGACAGCTTTATAGCCAACATAAAATAATCTGATGTTTATTGGGGAAAATGTTTGGATAGAGGATTAACTGAAACCATTAAATAGAGAAAACTTTTCATTCTTTTTAGATACTACAAATAAGAGCTTAGATCATGTTAAATGATCAGCTTTTGTGTCAGTCAACTTCACTGCATTCACTCATTTTTGCTTTGATAATGACTTAGTTTTAAATATGAAATGTAAGAACTAACAGTCTAGCTGAATGTGTATATGTTGCACTTATATTAAAGACACATGGTGTTGTGTCTCGCATTAAGAATGGAAAATTGTGCCCATCTGCACTGTCTTAATTTAGAGCTAAAGCATTAAAATGATGAATGGTATTATTTTGGGTCTGTAAACAACTTCATTCTTATAAACTTAGATTTTCATGGGCTCATAATTTTTACAGTAAATGTTCTGGGTTACAGCTGGCCTTTCTAGTAGGCTGTTGGTCAAGAAGCCTGTTAATTTCATTGGTTGGTTAATTTGTCTGAGGCAGAAAAAGCTAATAATCTCCTGTTTCTCATTTCTATAAGTCTATACTCAAATAAATTACAGTTTAATTTGCTTTTACATTTTCTCACAGCTAGTTGATCCTAGGAAAGCACGACAAGAAGTTGTCACTGACGTTTTGAGATTTCTACCTAATTATTTGATTATTTGTGTTGGATTGGTTTGAGAATGAACAATTACTTTCACGTTTGCAGAGCCCAATAGCTTTATAAGTCTGTTGTTTTCAGCCCCACCGTGCCACCCTCTTGTACCTATAAGTGTCTGCATGAACACACGCCTTTTCCTTTTAAAAAGCAGCCCCGTGACTCATACATTAGTGGGCTTGGGCTCTAAAGCTGCAAGAAAATTGTCAGCTCTGGGTGGAGTCGGTAGGAGAAGAGCCAAAGCTAAGCAGGAGCTGGATGAAGCTGCCTTGTCAGCAAACGCACAGAAGCTGGAGGGTGCCTGGCTTTTGTAGTGTTCAGCAATCACTCATCAATGAAGAAATCTGCCAGCAGCCTGCTTTGTCCTGCCTGGGTCCCTAGGCTGTGGGGAGCAGTAACAAGTGCTTGAGAGGCTCTCCCCGTGCTCCTGATGCCGGCTCTCCAGCTGGCTGCGGGTGATCGTGCCGCTTCCGATGGCTCGCGTCCCGCAGCAGGACCAGCAGGTCAGGAAAGGCCACTTGCAGCACTGCCAGCCCTGCAGGCAAGTGCCGACCTCTGGCAGTCACCGGCAGTCGTCCCGGCCCATTCCTGGGGTGCAGCTGGATGTGTGCCCTTCCAGCTGCGCTGAGGAAACCAGTCCAGAGGCTGCCAAGAAAGTGCTATTCGAGCTGCAGAGCCTTGGCTACCCTGTGCATGAATCCTCCAGCTGCCCAGCGCGTGAATACTTCGATGAAGCTGCCGACCAGGCCRGTGTGACAGGGCCAGTTATGCCAAATAACCCTTTCCCGACTAGCAATTAGAAAGTGGACTATCCTTTCCACTTATTGGAGACCTGAATTTCTGTATATTGAAAGATTAGACTTCAGGCTTTGACTGCAGTGCTCTGAAGGAAGCAGAAGTGATAGATTAATACGTTGCTGCCAGGGAGCTGCCCCACTCTTCAGGTTCTTGCTA